AATACGATAGGTCATGCCAATTTTAGTTGGTAAATAAAGTTATTATCATAATACCATCTATTATTTTTACTTTAACATGTATGTCTACAAACTAATATGTTGTTACACCAAGAACTATATTTATTATTTTGCATCATTTTTCGGCAAACATTTATTAATATGTATCTATATCAAAATATAATTTAAAATTAATAAGCCACACAATTAATAAGTTATAAATTATATGAATTATTTCTTGGATTCTATAAGTGGATGAATCCCACAATAATTTAATGAAGTTTATCTTTCTGGAATCTTAATCCTGTAGAATTTTGTTAGTATAAACTCTTTCAAGAGTTACTATTTCTTATCGAAATTTTTTTTTTTGCACATGGGTTTCGCTTATTTAACAATATGATGTCAATATTATTATTGAGTATGATATATAATTTTATTGGGGGAGTACATAATGAGCTAATTCAAAATAGTCTTAAATCCATAAATACGACAGGTCATGTTAACTTTAGTTGGTAATTAAAGTTATTATCATAATGCCATCTATTATTTTACCCCGACCTGTATGTCTATAAAATAATATGCTATTACACTAAGAACCTATATTTGTTAATATGCATCATTTTTCGGTAAACATTAATTTATACGTATCTATAACAAAATATAATATAAAATTTATAAGCCACACAATTAATAAGTTATAAATTATATGAATTATTTCTTGGATTCTATAAGTGCATGAATCCCCCATGTAATTCAAGTATAAAGATGACAAGTCAAGGGATTTAGTAACTTATCGTATAAAGTTTGATAAGATTGTGTTGTCTTTCTCAACATTGAAGCTTACTTAAAAGTCACGCTAAGCACTTCTATTTTGTTTGCATAAATGATTTTGCTCATATTCTACAATGTATATTGAAACGTTGTGGTTGAGTTTCTGTATATCTAGTTGATGACTCCAAGTAGTTTCATGTGTTATTTCAGAAATTTTGGGTTCAATTTGGAGTTATCTGAATAATTTTGAGAGAAAATGAGATTATTATTTGAGAAAAATGTAAGAAAAGTGTTTTGGAATATGACAATGGAGTATTGGTAGTATCTTGTTGAAATGAATGGATTACTTGAGCTAAAATTATATTAATAATGTTATATTGTGTGTAGATAATTCAAATTAAGAGTCAAAGTGCTATATGTAAGTAAATATTAAAGAAGAAGAAAAGGTAAGATTTATACTACAACATATCAAAATTACGCTACAGCATAATTCATTGACAGTGGGATTTACACCGCGACATAACCTAATTATGTCACAGTATAAGCATTAGTTACTAAAACGTACAGGTTTGAGAAAAAATAATATTTTTAGGGTTCTGAATGTTTTTACTCAACATTCTTTGCCTTGGCTCATCTCCAACAACTTCAAACTGACTAGGGAAGAGGGAAAAATACTATGAATGAGGTGAAGAAACTTGGGTTTTATGGGAGATTAGTGATCATTCAAAATCATTTTGGTTAAACTTTTCTTCTCCTTCTCTTCTTCGGTTTGGTATATTCTATGTTTAGTTTTGCAATTTCCATACTTATGTATAGCTAAATCTTTTAGACCTAGAGGAACTATGAACTTATTGATATATTAGAGTCATTTTAACCCTTTAATTAAGCTTAATGTTGATTTTGGGTATTGAAATTTTTTCTTAACAAAGGAGAATCTCATTTAGACTATTGGATTGAGTAATATGGGATTAAATTTTTTTTTTAATTTTTAATTAGGATAGACATATACCTAATTGCTTCATATAATCTTTGTGGAGTATTCTTGGTTTAAGTTGCCTTTTAGATAATTGTGTTAGAAATGACATAATTAATTTAAAAGAGGGTTGTTAGTAGATTGAAAGACCCTCATAGCTATTAAAACTCTTGATTAACAAAATTGGCTTTGAAATTAATTCATTGGGTTAAAATTGAGTCTAAGAAATTAATAGGGGATTAGTGACTCTAAGTTTCTCTTTTCTCAAATGGTTGTTGGATTTAAGCATTTTGTTGAATCTTTATTAAATTCAATTTTAATTTTGGTTAATTAATCAATTCCAATTAATTTTGTTTAATGTAAACAAAAATGATAATTTTATTTTCTAATCACTATTTTGCTTAATTCCTTGCAAGATTGACATTGATGCACTAATATATTATATTTTGACTCGTACACTTGCAGTGATACATTTTTGTGTGCATCAATAGTTGAAGGCAGGAGGGGAAAAACATGAGGCACACTTTTCAATAAAGAGATAATGGTCTTTAAAATAAGAAAAATGTTTGCAAAATTTTATGAATTATGTGTGCTGTGCTGCTGGGTTTATGAAATTTGTGGGTAAACTTTTGTTAGTTCTATATGCTTTGCTACTAAGTTTATGAAATCTATGGCCAAAACATTTTTAATTATGTGTTGTGCTGTTGAATTATGGTATTACAAATAAAACCAAGATTTTTTTAAACTATATGCAAAACCACTTTTAGTTATGCTGAAAGGTATATTGTTTCAAAATAAGTTAAAAGTTATATATGATTAATTCCCCACACATATATATATATTATGAGAAGTTAATTAGCTGGCAAAAATATGAGAAATTAATTACAATAATGATTGTTATGGAGTAATAGATTTTATATTTGTGGTATAAATTATACTCCCTCCGTTCAAAAATATAAGGCATTTTTAATAGAATCTCACCCTTAATAAATTAATCACCTACTTTCAAATTAACCCTAACTTTTCATATTTACCCTTATTAAACACCCTACAATAAATATAAAGTTATTATCAATAGGAGTATTTTTGAAAAAGAAGTAATGATTACATCTTGAAAGATTAAAAATGTCTTACATTTTTAAACACCCAACTACTCAAAAAATGTCTTATGTTTTTTAATAGAGATAGTATCAAATAAACAATAAAAAGTCAATAATTCTGTAAAAAAAAATCTACAAACTGAAATAAGATTGTAATAAAAGTATTTTTTTATGAAAATATATAATTACTAGAACATGAGAAATTAATTATAATTATACGCAAAACATATTTGTAAGATTGATTTATAAGATAAGAATTTAGGCCTTTGATTTTGTGCACGGAATAAATGAATGAATTTAAGCATTTTGAAAAATAAAATAAGTAGTCAAAGGTCATATTTTTCTCACTGTTTTTCAAAAGGTTAGTGGATATTCTAAACTTAACTTTAGATTAATTCTATTTGTCAACATTTAAATTTCGAATCCTCATGCCCTCTAGGTTAGCATACCCTCTTCTTCTGTCGATGGTTCCCTCCAATTGGCATTTTTCATATTTTTTGACCCTGCTCTCTCTGTCCACTCTCTCCCCCTCGGTCCACATAAATTATAAATCACTTCTCTCTCTCTCTCTCTCTCTCTCTCTCTTCCCGCTCACTTCTTTCATTAATTAATCCATCTGTTCTTCATTTCAGCTTTTATTTGATGCGTTACTTGCAGAGAATCCATGGCGTCAAATGCTGCTCCACCAAACCCCATAAGAATTATATGCTTTTAATTTTGTGCATGGAATGAATGAACGAACTTAGACATTTTGAGAAATATATAAAATAAGTATTTTTTAGGAAAAACATACTCTTTGATCCTTATAATTTCACTGGGTTTATCTTTGTAGTTTTTTCTAGTATTTTCAGTTTTTATGAGAACTAAAAATACTGAAAAAAAACTGAAATTATAAAGACTTGAAAAATAAATGTCACCTAATCTTTTTGAAAATATAGAGATTGAAAACACTAAAAAAAATTAAAAACTACAAAGACTAAAAGCAAAATTGAATGAAACTATATGACTGATTATTATGTTTTCCCTTCTTTTATATTAGATATTAAATAAAGGATATAGTGAATATATAATGTCTAATTAAATCTATCCTTGAAAACTTCGCACAAAAATAGTAGTCATGGCTGATATGAGATACCATAACACACATTCCTATATGATACGATGTAATTTAGGATAACAAATAACTTATTAAAGTCTATCTTTTTGGAATCTTGATCGTGTAGAGTTTTGTTATTGTAAATTCTTTTAATAGTTACTATTTCTTATATAAAAAAGTTTTGCACATAGATTTCGCTTATTTAACAATATGATATAAATATTATTATTGAGTATGATATGTAATTTTATTGGGGAAGTGCAGAATGAGCTAATTCAAAATAGTCTTAAATCCATAAATACGATATGTAATGTTATTTTGGTTGGTAATTAAAGTTATTACCATAACGCCATCTATTATTTTTACCTCAACATGCAAGTCTATAAACCAACATGTTATTTACACTAATGACATTAGTGTGAACCTATATTTATTTATATGTATCTATAACTAAATATAATATAAAATTTATAAGCCACACCATTATTAAGTTACAAATAATATTAATTTTTTCTTGGATTCTATAAATGCATGAATCCACGTCTAATTCAAGTATATAAATTATTACAAGTCAAGGAATTTAGTAACTTATTATTTTAAGTATGCCAACCGTATCATAACTTTATTTGAAATTGCATGAAAGGATTTATGTCAAAATTGGTGATGATAACTTATTCAAAATTTTATTTTATATATGCTACTTAACTTCTCAAAAATTAGCCGTGATTGAAAGTGATATGCCAGAGAAAAATTAGCTGTCACATAAAATATTTGATGCAATACTAAATTTCTTATTTTTTTTTCTTAAACAAAATGCAAAATAAAAGAAGTGACTTGTACAGTTTGACAATTGTACCCAACTATTGATTATATAAAGATGATGAAAATAAGTAAGGTTTGGCCAGCAATTCAATATAACGAAACTATCATTGTTTACACTTTACATTACTAGTTCATCTAAATAAATCCAATAAAAATCAAATTTTTATTGTGGATAAATTTGATTTTTCTTCATCCACATATATACTTTAGAACATTTAGAAGGTAACCAAAAATCTGGAAATAAGAAAAGAAAACAGAGAGCCTTTATTGTTTGATATATAGTGCGTATATATACATATAGATAAATATAGAACTTTGAGTTAAAATCATGTGAATGTGATTTAGTTTAAGCATTGATCGAAGTCATTTTATGTCTAGCCAAAATGAAAAAAGCCATGTTATGAAACTAGCCTCACTCATAGTTATCGCATATTTTATAGCACCATGTCATTCTTGAATGATCCTACACTTTTGTTGAAGTCTCGAGTCATAGCATAGTTGATGCTTTCCCTTTTTATTGAGGACAAATGGAGAGTTCTTGTTAGTTGGAGAATTGTTTCTTCCATGTGACCTTGAGGGTAGTACATATACTGCTCTTTCCCCCTCATCAAGAACATCCACCAAAGTCCCATTCGAAAAGGAAGAGTCATTCTTATTTGAACTCTTCCTTTGGCAATATCTACATCACACACAAATATACATAACTTTACTCTTTTTTTTTGTAAAATATATAATGTTTTTCAAATTATGCATATGACAATAACAAGAAAATAAGATAAATAAACTACGTATAATGTTTTTCAAATTATGTATACGATAATAACAAGAAAATAAGATAAATAAACTACGTCAGACTCACCTTTAGTATTTCGTTGATTTGATAAGATTGTGTTGTCTTTCTCAACATTGAAGGTTACTTAACAGTCATGCTAAGCACTTCTAATTTGTTTGCCTAAATGATTTTGCTCATCTTCTGCAATGTATATTGAAATGTTGTGGTTGATTTTTTGTATATATAGTTGAAGGCAAGAGAAGAAAAACATTAGGCACACTTTTCAATAAAGAGATAGTGGTCTTAAAAATAAAGAAACTGTTTAGCACGGCTTTGTCAATTATGTGTGCTGTGCTGCTGGGTTTATGAAATTTGTGGCAAGGTTTTGTCAGTTTTGTGTGCTGTGCTGGTGGGTTTATGAAATCTATAGGCAAAATGTTTTCAATTATATGTGTTGTGCTGTTGAGTTATGGTATTACAAATAAAACTAGGATTTTCTTAAAACATCTGCAAAACCACTTTTAGTTAAGCTAGAAGATACACTGTTTCAAAACAAGTTAAAAGTTGGCACATGATTAATTCCCCAAATATATTATGAGAAATTAATTAATTTCAAAAAATATGAGAAATTGATTACAATAATGATTATTATAATAGATTTTATATTTGTAGTATAAATTATAAGAAATAAACATTAACAAGTCAATAATTATGTAAAAAAAAATCTACAAACTAAGATAAGAATATAATACAAGTATTTTTTATGAAAATATATAATTAATAAAATATGAGAAATTAAATATAATTATACTAAAACATATTTATAATTATTTATAAGATTGATTTATAAGATAAGAATTATATGCCTTTAATTTTGTGCATAGAAGGAATGAATGAATGAACTTAAGCATTTTGAGAAATAAAATAAGTATTTTTAATAAGGTTAAAGGTATTTTTACCTCTCAACTTTACCTAAAATGTATTTGGACAGCCTAAATTTAAATATGAATTAATTCTATCGCTTGATGTTTAAATTTCAAATATCTATACCTCTCAGGTTAACATGTCCTCTTCTGCCATTAATGGGTCCTACCAACTAGTACTTTTTTATATTTTTTGACACCCTCTCTTTGTCCACTCTCTCTCTCCCCCCCTCCACTTAAATCACTTCTCTCTCTCTCTCTCTTCCTCCATACTTCTTTCATTAATTGATCCGTCTGTTCTGCATTTCAGCTTTGATTTGATGCTTTGCTTATAAAGAATCCATGGCATGAAATGATCTTCCACCACGCCGTATAAGAATTACATGCTTTTAACTTTGTGCACAGAATGAATGAATGAACTTAAGCTTTGAGAAGTAAAATAAGTATTTTTTATATTAGACATTAAATGAAGGATATATATATTGCATATATAATCTCTAATTAAATCTATGCTTAAAATCTTCACGCAAAAATTGGAACAACTTGCCTATTCCATAATTAAATAGCATTTTTAGCCTTCCTTGCAAAATGTCCAATCTTAACTCAAACTTGACCCCTACTAATTACACTTACCATGGTAATTAAGAAATTACCATATAAGTCTACCATGGTAAACATAAATTATTTAGTTCCAAAATAAGATCCCAAATTTTATAATAATCAAATATAAACGATTCAAAACTAAAATAAATATTGAGTTATAAATTGCATAGAAACATGAGATACCAATTAAACTTAGAAAACATTTACATAATAGGACAAACATCATTTTCTAACAATACGAGACATCCACTATAGCTAATCAATCCATAAGCAACAACGAGCCTCACCAATGCAATATACCGTAGCGAAGGCACCATTTGTCATGATGCAATGCATACAAAAGACAACATCTATATCTATCACTAAGATAGATTTGAGGCCAACCTTTATCATTCCCCAAATCTTTGCCTAACGTTTGATGAAGGTGAGCTAGGTGTTCACAAAGTACTTGTATAGTAAACTAGCTAATGATAATGATATATTTCCTTGAACTATGTCATGGCACAAAGTTAGGTACTTGAATCCAAACGAACACATTTCACACATTTTTCACAACTAAGGCACCCTAAACTCAACCAAGTGCTAAAAGCCAAAACCCAATACTAAACCACATTCCAAGGACTTGAGACAACCTGTGCATTACACAACTCAACAAATACTACACATATCACAAATTTTGCTTCTCAACCCCACTTTCAATTAAAAAGAAAGGGGGAAGTAAATTAACATTTTAAATCACAAAAATTCACTTATGGTCAAACATATACTTGCACTAGTATTTCATTTTTGATTAAATCATCAACTCATACAACATAACCTAGGGCACAAAATACCAAAAAAATCAACTAACAAATGTGTGATAGTGCATGGAGTGCAACTACCAGTAACCAAAATTCATTAAAACATGCTCATGCAAGTCAAATAATAATAGACATGCAAAGTATACATTTATGAAACAACTTAGCAACATTAAATAGAATTCAATGTAATGCACGATCAATAACTCCACCAATCCTAATTGAATCCATGAGCTACACAATAAACAGGAGCTAAATCCATGTGACTGTGTTAGTCCAAGCTCTCCAATCATGAAAGGTGACTAGTCTAGGGTCCCACACTCAATCATGGACTATGAATTCTCCCATATCAGACACAAGGTTTCACAAGATCCTCTTACCAACTTCACTAATTAGGGTTTAAGGGTAAACCCTATTACCATCTTTGCTAGGTAGCGTTTAAGGGTAGAGTCAAGAACCAAACACTAAGGCCTTGCAGTGTTAGTATGATCCATGTGGGCACAAATCATTACTCCAGTAGGCAAACTCCAGGCATTAATGTGATTATGCCAATATATCATGCTAATTCACACATAGCACATTTCTATAACATCATCATGCTGAATTTTATTAGTACTTACTAAATTAAAAGGAATTTCACCTGCCATTGAACAATCATTTTTCCTTTACAATCTCATTATTCCAATTATGTAGTTCAAGCCACACTTGCATAATTTTTCAAAACTAAAACATGTATAAACAAGGATATACATATAACAATATAGTTTCAAGGTTCACAAACACCTATAATTAGATCAACAATTAATAACATGTAATAGATTTTCTCAATTAACTTAAATCTTTAAGGACTCAAAGGTTACCTTCAAGAATTTACTTGCTTCCTAGCTAAACTCAAGCTTTTTGGTGCTTTACAAGGTTAGTCTACACATAACACTAACCACTATCACTAATAATCATCAAAGTCAACACTTCCAACTTGTAAATATCACATATTAATAACCAAATTTCCAACTACAAGTGTGTTCTCACATCCAGTGAATTCATTAACTTTCATTAATTTCATTTACCTCCCAATAATTTAAATAATAGCTAATATAACATCTAAAACTCAAAAATCATCCTGTAAAGGTCGATGGTTTGTCTATATCACATAAATTTGAATCTAATGAGCAAACTACTAGTACCCATTGTTCTAGGAGAAAAACTAACTTTCAACAAGTCCTTTCTATAACACCCTCATAAAACCTTTTTTTCCCAAAATCATTAACAAAACCTTACAAGACTAAGCAAAGGGATTTTAAATATTCCAATAATAAATGGGTCTAGGATATGCAAAGCCCAAACTATCTTCATATAATAAGCCAAAAAATGACATAACAAACTACTTGAAAACATTCTAATATTAAAAAGGGGCTATCAAGACTCAATTTAATAGACAATAAATACCTTATCTTAATTAAAACCCACCAAGTTAACAAATAATGGGATCCTAATAAAACAATTATGGCTTTCAAGTCTACAAACCATTTTCATAATTAATCCTAAAATCAAATACATGAACCTATACTTTAATATAAATAATTTGACTCAACCCACAATTCAATAAAAACTTTTAAAATAATTATAAAAGACCTAAAATACAGTATTTATTAAAATTTTCCAAAATCAATAAAATAATAAACTAAATATGAAGTCCTAAGTTATGGCAATAAACAAGGTAAACTTATATGTGCAATACAAGACAATTGAGCTATCGCTCAATTCTCCTATGCCCTCCCCTGTGACCTACTTAAACCTTCACCTGAAAATTACAGGAGGTAAAATGTGAGATCTAATATTTTAATAACAAGTGGATGTTTGGAATATACTAGCAAATTAGTTCAAAATCTCATTTTGCAATATCTATTTCACAAATGAGTTCATGAATCAGGGAATACTATTTTTCACAAAAATTACATCAAAAAAAATCATGCAAACAAGTGATGTTATCACTGACCCTTCATTATGCCACCCATACACCTTATCCTACTAGCTAAAGTCTAGCTTAAGGAAATACTTGACCAAAAGTATATTGTCTACAAGATTAAACTCCTCTCCTTCCAAAAGAGGAGCTCAATGTCTCATAGTCCCAAACTAGGAGAAAGGGACCTGAAGAAATGCCACCCATGAGATCCTTGATAGTGGCTTATCATATGGCAAAAATAACACCAAAATCCCTAACATATTCACCACAATCATATCCTCTGTACGATTGCTTCACATCCACAAAGTTCAAAAATGTACAAGCATGTTTAAAAAATGTTGAACCATGTGCTTTGATGATAACAAAACTGAAAGAAAGGTGTTTGTTACTTGTACAAAAATATAATGTCATGTATCAAGTGACAAAACCTTAAGAAGGAAGAGTGAGCATGAAGAAGCTGTTATCTATGGGAATCATTATAAGTATACTACACTCAAAGATAAGTGAGCATGAAGAAGAAGAAGAAGAAGAAGAAGACTAAAAGTCATTATATGCATGCTACACTCAAGAAAGAAGATCAAGAGAAGATTTGGTATAATATGCTTACTTTATTTATTCTTGTCTTAGATATCTTTATAACAATTCTTAAGAGCTAAACCATATATTTGAATATGGAAAGAATGCATCATATAGAAAGTCATAGGTTTATAAGCCTTTTAGGCTTAAATATCTCATCCAAGCTTGAACAAGAAGTGGCCCAAGCTTGTTTGACAGTTGTTGGTACATAGCTTTGGTTCACATTGTTCTATCCAGGCTTGGACTATAAGTGTCCCATACATGTTTGATCATTATTTATACTTATAAAACTTAGAGGATCTCATTCAAGCTTAAATCATAACTAAACCTTGCTTGAATTAGAGCATTAAAAGTGAAAACATAACACTA